ACGTGTGCTCTTCCGATCTCCCCAAAACCCCAAAACCCCAAAACCCCATTGATCAAAATATACATCTTAGAATGGTTAAAATAGTAATTGCTTAATCTCAAACGATAGAATAAAACATAATTACGTATTACTTTAAAAGTTATGAGAAAAACTTCGGGTTCCACCTCCAATCTATCTTTAGAGATTCCTCTTATAGAAGAAAGGTCACTTGATAAAAAACGAATAGACCCAAATCCTAAAGAAGCCTCTGTTAGATATGCTATACTTTTACTAGTCTGCTACCTAAAGTTTGTAACGTAAGTCTCGATAGAAGTTAGACATCTCTTTTAATTTTTGACATCTTATCAATGCTACAAATATTCAACGAATTTATAGTTATTATACAACTGAGAGCCCTGGAAGTATAAAGCAAGAAGTTGTTGAGAATTTTAAGATAACCAATCTGGAATTTGGCATGCTGTTCTCAATATACAATCTTCCAAATATTGTTTTGTCCTTGCTTACTGGTATTTTCATTGACAAAGTGGGGATTAGGAAATCAAACCTTATCTTTACTGTTCTGGTTCTGATCGGGCAAGTTATTTATACTTTGAGCTGTTACGGTGAAACAAATTATCAATTGGCATTGATAGGTAGATTCATTTTAGGGTAAGTAGATATAAATTTAACTTATCCATAGAGCTTCTGCTGAATCATCTAGCTTAGTGTATATAATGATCATTAATCACTGGTTTTCTTAAAAAGAGCTGGGCTTCGCATGTTCGTAAGTCCCTTTTTTATTCAAATTCCACTTTAGAGTATTGATTACCATTGCCAAAGCTGGTGTGAGTCTAACAAATTTCTTATCCCCCTATATTTACTATAATACTTAAAGCCTTGGTCATTCTTTTATGGCAGGAGTTGTCTTAGCTATTGTTGGTGTCCTTTTATGCTACATTTTCAACATTATTGACTAGAAATTCGAGCGAAATGCCAAAATTAGTAACAACACTCATGATTTGGAGACAAGAGAAACTAATGCTATTAACGACAATTCATATTAAGAGTAAAATGAGCAATAAAAGTCTAGCTTTTCACTCAAATTACTGTCTTAATTAAGCAGATATTTCTGGTTTTTTATTCTGGCTAATTTTATCAGTTATATGACTCTTGGACCATTTCAAATCAATTTCAGTCAAATTCTAAGAGTTAGATACAATTTTGATATTGTTGAGACTGGGTATATTTTGGTAAGTTGCTATTAAAGTTAAATCTTATATAGGGATATATTGCTATTGTTTTGACTTGCTTAGGTCCAGTTCTTGGAATAATCTCGGATAGAATAGATAAAAGAATGGGAGCATTAGCCTTTGGAAATATGATCTTATTCTTGGTTTAAGCATTCTTTGCTTTCACTCCAAATTATGACTAAACCTATTTAATAATCATACCCCTTGCCCTATTTGAGTTGTCTCTAGGAATTTTCCTTTCAAATTTACAAGCCGCAATGAAGTAAATTTTTAATAAAGCTAATGTTTTAGTGAAATATCTCCCCCACATATTTTCGGGTTCTGCTTAGGCCTAATGAACTCATTTTAGAATATGAGTATGGCTATAGCCCCCTTGCTGATCGGATCAATATTGGATGTAAACGACAAGGATCTATCAAAAGGATATGTAAATGTTAGTTTTGTTCTAGGAGCCCTAAATCTAGCAAGCGCTTTGATAATAGGATACATCGGATTGTAGTAATAGAAATACAGATTCAATTGAAAATATTGATGGTACATTTGTTTTAAATAAGCTTATGAGTGATGTTTATTTATAAATAGCTCAATTAATGACCAATCATAATGCTTAGATCAGGGGTTTTGGGGTTTTGGGGAGATCGGAAGAGCACACGTC